TTGTCCAATTAATTTCTTTCTAATTTTAGTAGAGACAGGTCTCGCTCTTGCTCAGGCTGGTTTCGAACTCCTGAGCTCAAACAATCCTCCCGCCTTGGCCTCCCAGAGAGCTGGTATTACAGGCGTGAGCCATCGCGCCCGGCCCAGATGTATGTAGAGTCTTAAGAAGAAAGGCAAGGACCCTGATTTTCTCCACCACTCCTGCTGGAGGCTTTATGTATAAACCATCAAGAATACACAAAACATGTGAGGACAACAACAGAGTTGCATGTGTGTGGGACCAGCTGACCACCATGATCAGTGCTCTTTGACCTGTATGTGCCTAGATCCTGGTAGGCAGAATTATTATACAAAGGCCTGGTATTAGAGGGGAGATGGTTGCATAGGGAAAACAAAGAACTGTATTACATGAAAAGAGGACCAAAAATAATCAAAAGTAGGTAATGATAATGGAGAAGCCAGTGATGTATGGAAGAGAGGTCTAGGACCTCGGACACGGAGACTGATCTGCAGAGGACGAGAATTGACTTGCATGTCCGGGCCCCTCCAAGACCAGCACCAGTAGCGACACACTAACGGAATCAACCACCTGGGGCTCTAAAGGCCAGACTTACTCTTTACTCTGTTCTATTTTGTGTCTCGCTGCTTCCTAAATGGCTGTTCTTGGCCTCTTTCCCCACTGGAAGTTCCAGGATCTCTACAGGATCAGAGTTCCTCAGGGTAAAGTTATGCTATAACCCTATCATAAATGTGGAGCTGTACTTACCCTTTAAAGCTTAATTCAGTCAGTAAGTATTTACTGAGCCTCTGCTGTGTGCCAAGTGCTTTGTATCATAACCGAGTCTTAGCATACCAGTTTGCTTCTTTCCTGAGGTTCTATCCTCCTTCAGTGGTAAGATTTCTCAGTAGTCAGGATTCCTGCCTCTCTTCTCTGTACCTGGGAGGATTCATTCTCTGGGAGAGCTGTTCTGCTGTGAGCAGACGGGACTGGACGTAGAGCTGAGATGAGAGTGATGGGGATTTAAGGGATTATAGATCCATCAGCCGGAGGCCAGAGAGTGCGTGGATGAGAGAAGGGGATTAATTTTATTTTTATTCCTGTGAGGGTAGGGGGAGGGTGGGGGACTGGCAGGTGCTAAGGGAGAGACGCTTGTTTGTGTTGTCTTCTCTCCCTTGTAGAGCTTCC